GGGCATGAGCACATACAAAAACATATTGATATCATAAAAACATGTGTTATCAATCTCAATGTAATCATCCAACAACCCTAGCCCTAAATATGAAGTATAAGTTTTGCAGCAAATAAGTACAATAGTTTTCATAGGCTACTTGACAAATGGAATATAACAGTAAATATAGTCGTAAAACATGTTATAATTCTAGTATACTCCCATCTCATTATTAAATGTAGCGTATTTATTTTATAGTAGAGATTCATTCATTCCAGAAATGAGTTTGGGAACAAGATGATTCACAGGTAAATACTGCCATCCTGTGGCCACTTACAGGATGGGATCTGTCTGGTGAATGCAGATTGTGAATATGCCTCTTAAAAGTTTAATCAAGTATTGTAATAAAAAAAGGAAAACAATGAAGTAAGGCAACTAGAATATACATATATATTCTATGTAAATATAGAACATTATAATTGTACAACAATCATGATTCAAGAATCTCTTATTGATCCCGCACCCTGCCCACGGGGCTAAAGAGAACTATTACACGGTCATTTGCTGCCCTCTCCTGGACAAACAGAACAACTGGACATTCTACAGAATCATCAAGCTCTTTAAAACATTTACAGCTTTAGTATTCAGTAAAGATAACGATCCTTTAGATCTGGTTCCCATGGTGGCTACAAATAATATTGCATTTACAGCTATCGTAATGCAAATATATTATTATTGCAATCATGCAACAACAATTTATTTTGTATATATTATTACAAATTGATTACATTATTGATTGATTGATTAATATAGTCTTTTCTATAGAGATTTACAACCTGCAAGAGATTATAAGTCACCATGAAAACAAAATCAACACGCAGAAGGACAACTTCCATGCACTTATTCTAAAACATTTCAAACACAAGAGTTCTCATTTAGATAAATGAGACTGCTGCTTATTCCAGGTCTTCTATACAATATAATGACAATAAATCATGGTCATGTTCATCAGACAAAGAGGTATACTCATCATAGAGGGACACTAACAGAAAATACATTGTGTACTCTGTGTGGATTGGATGAGGTGTAAAGCAGAGTCAAGAGTTTGTAAAAGACCAGAGAAAGGATTACTCTACGCAACTGAGAATTCAAAGATCTTTCTGAAATTTTCCAGCAAAGGAACCAAGTAAAAGTCACTATATCTTATCCCTGATTCCTATGGATTTCATCTGATATAATTATGTTTTGGATTCCTCTTTGAACTAAATATATGTCCACAATTGTTGGTTTGGTCAAACAGTGAAAGTGAAACAAAGGCTGTAAACTAGACAAAGTCAGTGTTAGGAGAGGGTTAGTCCCGCAGTTGTCCAGGCGGTGGCATGTTTGCACCAACTTACACTCTGTGCCCAACCACAGTTTTTCCACTAACTTTACAAACATCGTGGGTAAATGCTTTGTGCAGCAGCTGTACCGTGTGGGGGTCCAGGTATGTGTATTTGGTCAAATTCAAGTTCTTACTTGAGTGGATAGGCCTTATTTATTGATAGTTTAAAGCCCATATTTCTACCTGCATATCCAATAACGTTGATATGTAAACCAAAACAAATAAGATGAGTTCACTGTAAGGTCTATACACGGTTTGTCACGCTTTATTTTCCCTAGAGTTGACCCTAAATTACCATTAAACCTAGATTAAAAGTCCTAATAAAATAGAAGGAATAGTTGCATGTTAAAGGGCTGTATTAGACCTTTAAGAGTTAGTTCACTCATGCACAATATGAAAAGTGTATACATTATACTGCTAGTAATAGAAGTATATATGTATATTAGAAACATACATGTAAGTGCGAGAATCATGAAAAGCAGAGTGCTCATGTCAGAACCACACAGCGACGTGTCGCCACTCACCCGTGTCCCACGCCTGGGTTGACGGCCAATTCTGCAGACGTGTCATCGCTTGGCAGTGTCTCATTGATGCTATCTGCTCTTCACCTGAGAACTTGATATGACCCAGAGAGCGGAGCTGCCGAGAATAGGGGAAAGAAATGGTGGTTATGTCCACGTGCATTTGTCAAGAGCTGTATAAAAGTTTGTTTCAAAAGGTTTCACTTCTGTGCCTCTCCCGACAGAAGACAGGCACATAGTAAAACTTTTATGCCAGCGTGTGTTTAAAGGTGCCCTGCGAAGATAGGCTTCTATAACCGTATACCTCTCGTTTCTCTTCTGACTTTTAAAGCTTTCATAAAAGGGGAATTTCAAGGGGGAAAAAACCCTCATTTTTTTCCAAAGTAAAACTATTAAAAGTGGCCCATCACGCTTGTCCTCTGAGACCTGCTTGCACTTGCCTGGGCTCCAGTTGAGAAATACAGCAGGCTAAGGTTCAGCATGACTGTGAAGACAAGTAGACAGTGACAAATCCATTTTTAGCTTTACCTCAAACGTTTTCGCTGCAGAATGCTAATAACGTCTTGCTTGGCTGCGTGGAGGACTCTCCAAAGGGGAGTATCACTTTCAGCTGCTTGTCTCATTGCTGAAAGGCCTCTCCAGCGTGGGGGACTGGCACTCAGACGACCTATGCACAAAGGAAGAAGCAATTTATTATGTACATTATATACTTTCACTGTCCACAATCATCAAACAGGTGGATATTATAAGAGCAGTTGGTTTAAATGTGCTCTACAAATAGAGATGGAGTGAAGCAAATTATCAACATTAAAACAAATAAAGGCTAGGTATATCTTGTGTATTGAGTTATATATTAGTTTCAAATTGTAAGTTGAATAACAATAGAAGTAAATAGACTTTTGAACAACAAGTCTTCAAATTTTCTGAGTTCCTCATGTTTAAGTACATGATATGAAAAAGGGTTGAATAAACTGATGCGTACAGGATTTAAGTCCCTAAATGTATTCCACTGAAAAAAAATGTCACCATGTAGTACACTTGGTGAGCCATTTTAAACGGGTTTAAGTGTATTTTACGCTATACTGCATTTTATTACTATGTGTTAGGTTATATTACACTATTATGCTATTTGTTTTAATTATGTATTCTGTATGGAGGGTTGTGTATTCGCCGCTGGACACCTGAATTTCCCCTACAGGGAGACATTTTACATGATCACAGCATGTAGTAACTGATCATAATTAAACTTGTGGCATGAAAAGAGAAACCCTGCTTATTTAACTCTTCAATTGGTGAATTAGGACAGTGCTCTGGGGTCAGGAAATCATGAGTGATGGAGAACGTAGCCAAGTGAAAAGTGGTCTGATCCAGGAAGTACAGCATGCTCCTACCATTTGATGTTAATTGTGGATGTGTGGACCCAGTCTGTGTGGACATCTGTGTTGCCTCTGCGCAGGGAAAGCCTTAAGCCTGAAGACTCATCTCTGCTGATGTTTAGGAGATGTGGTGGCAGGTTGTGGTCTGCAGCATATGGGCTCACTTTAAAACCTTCCCAGAACCTCTTTTTTCTCTGAGATAATTGCAGCATGAATTTGAATAGGGGGCTTTGATTTATCAACACATTTGTTGACAACACTGAGTCTTTCCATTGAGAAATCTGCTGCAATAACTGAGACCTATTGGAGGTGCTGCAAATCCACCATCTAAGGGTTCATTGCAGTAAAGACGTGTCTCAGAAAGCAAATGACATCTTGTCTAATTTGCATACCGGATTAAACAATTCAAGTTCCATCAACATTGACACTGAGAGGCTGTGGTTTGTCCATTTACATTTTCCTGCAGTACACATCTGGCCTTGATCCTAAACACAGCAGCCTCATGTTAGTAGGTCATATAATTGTGAGTAGAAGTCTTTGCAAACACATGAAGAAAGAGAAAGGTTCAACCACTTCTGCTCCTTGGATTACAGACCAGAGAACAACGGTCGAAGTAGTGACTTAATAATGAAACCAACTCAAACGCATCGTAATGATCGTACGATGATGAGCCCCTGTTTTAAGACACTCATGTCTGTAATTTACACACTACACAAACACTTCTATGAATGAGCAAGTGATTGCTGAATTATATGTGAAAACAAAAAGAATAGGCCTGTGGACATTATATGTTTTGGTTCTCAAGATGATTCTCCAATCACTCCGATTGCACTAGAATACACAGCATTTTATACTTATACTTATTATGCTTAAGTCAGGGGTTTTTTCATACTTGATTCTTGCTGCTTCACCGTGGAGCTCTTGAGACTTCTTTTTGTATTATTCTAAAGATAGAGATGTTATACTGCTGAATTAACGGAGTTAGAGATTTTATTTTATTTTAGAATATTCATTAATCTTGTGCTGTGTGCTCTTCATTCCTACTGTTCTGTAACTTGTGATGCAACACTGAAATTTCTCTTAATCTTACTTATACAGTAATCATTAAGTAGCATCACTTGTCTCTCATTTGAGTTGCCAGTTTCATTGGTAATATCCAGCTGGATTGTACCTAAACTTGAGCAGCTGCAGCTTACATGTGCCAAAGGTAATATCCTCCAGAGAAGGTTCTGCTGAGCATCAACATCTGGAGAAGATCCCTGTGCGCTGCACAGATGCCCTGGTGGCTTTGGACAGTAGGTCAGATGCTCCTATGAACAGCATACCTTACCTTGCCTAAATCAGAACTGGAGGAGCACCTACGTGTGTGTGTGTGTGTGTGTGTGTGTGTGTGTGTGTGTGTGTGTGTGTGTGTGTGTGTGTGTGTGTGTGTGTGTGTGTGTGTGTGTGTGTGTGTGTGTGTGTGTGTGTGTGTGTGTGTGAATGTGTGTGTACTGTGTTCATGTCTGATATATGTTTATTAATGGAACAACATTGAGAGGCATCGAGGCCATACATTCTGATGACATGTGTCCAGGTTATCAGTATATCAGTGACTACTGTAGAGTCTTTGTTAGCACATATTTGAGCTTAAGCAGCGCCCTTATACAGCTAAGGGAAAACAGGAGTTGTGAGGGGCTTTTTCTTGGCTAGCATGTCCAGGCTTGGTTGCAGGCCTGTCTGTCCCTACTCAACGCAAGCATGTCAGACATTTCAGCACCAGCAAGAGTGCACCCTGGCTCCCCATACCACAGCGGAGGAGAGCAGCGCCACACGCTGAGAGCCCCGGGTAGGAGTCTCATTCTGTTCATGTGTTCATCCTACATAAGACACAAAACTTCAAAATGTTCGCAAATGTATAAAATATATAAAATATATAGGGGAGGCTGAAGTGTGCACAGAGGGAAATGTGGGATACAATATTATTAGCATCTGCTTTAGTACTTCGACCCCTAAAACTCTTGAGAATTTACTAATAAATCCTGTCTATTTGATGAGTCCTCTCCCACACATACAGGTCAGCATTATACCAAGGCTGGACCAAGCTTCTGCACCTTTCAACAAACCAACGCCATGACAGACGACCACGAGCGGGAATACATACGTGTTTCAGGAAGCCGGCAACGCTCTCTTGTGCGCAAAGTGAAAGCTTCAGTCGTGATCACCCAAAACAAACCCACTCTGGAGCCCAACTGGCATCGCCTCCACTTTTTCAATAAGGGAATGTATTTATGAGCATCTGGCAGGAGTTCAGTGAGGTCACAACACTAATAGACTGGAAGGATACACCAGTCTGCTTAGCCTCGTTTGATTCACGTTTTCTGTATCAAAGAACTTCACTAATTACTCAGAAACAAAAATGTTTTAGAATTTGTCTTAATTTTTGATCATTTGTAAGAATATCCGATATCAAACTTCATTTACCTTATTTCAAACAATCTACTCTATGTCAACAAAATTCTGTAGGTGTTAATAATATCATAACAATGGCCTTTTTTATAGAAATAAAAAGTGTACAAGTTCACATGTACAGTCTTGTTGCCCTGTGTTCTTGAGGAACATGGATATCTTTCATATTGAGTCCATATTTGGGGTTTTGTATGTTGCGACAGTGGAAACTGGTAACTCTGACTGATATCAGGTTTGGCTCATAAGAACAGACACACGGTTTTCATAAAAGCATTAATCTTAAAAGGATTGACTGTCAGGAAACATACACGGGCCCTATCCTGACATTAAAAAGAGCGTCCTACTTTGGCGAAAAACAATATCACACCAAAGCCAATAAAAGGCCTTGAATTTTCCGCGCATGGCATTTGAGTGAAGAGCACACATCGTATGAGCACATTGATTCTACTTGTGATGTGAGCTATCAAAGCATAAGGCAACGTTATTGTTTATCCGTTCGCCCAACACATTGTCCATAAGGCACTTACTCCAATATTCTGGGCAGATGTCCAATTAGGTCACTAAGATTCAGCACCAGCCGAGGTAACTATTAAGTTTTCTCTTCTTAATTGACAACAGATTCAGCCCTGAGAAATTCTACTACCCAACAACAATACTATATGAGCTGTCTGAGGATCAGCAGAACAAATTGTACAAATTGTGTTCCACACAACTTTAGACGAGCATAGACTTTTAGTTTCCTCATTACCTTTACAAACCAGTGAAGCCTTTTGCCTGTAGAACAAACTTTATGGTTACTAATAACTAGAAATCATAAGTAATAGAGAAACAAATTGATTGTGTAAATAATCAAAATAACAACAATGGATTCTACGTAACTTGTGTCAACTGCGTAATCTGTTTCATATTGGCTGAGATCAAAATGACAGAGAAGAGAAATCCAAATCAACACACCACCGGCTCAACAAGTCTGGACATTATGGGATATAAGGTATACTTATGACATAAGAAGATGATCATTGTAATGCTCCGTTATCATTAAATATTTCACCATCACCACCACATCCAGTCTCTCCCAACTCTTGTCTCCAAAAAAATGTGTTGTTCTCAGGAATCACCCTGAATGAAACAATGCAAAGGTAAAGGCTGATAGCACAAAGACACAAGACATGTTAGAGTCTAGGTCCTGAGCAATTACTGAGGCTGGTAAAAGCTGGCATGTTTCACATGGCACCGCTGCAGCCTCATTACTGTGCTCTGCTGCTCCGAGTGGCTCTGTGCTATAAAAGAAGTGAAGTTTTTCCTTCAGCAGTGAGCAGCAGGAGGACAAAGAACCTCACATCACCACAGTATGGTCACACAAGAGCTGGAGGTGGACTTCACTGCAGAGCAATAGACCAATACATATCACCTTTTTACCTCTGCCAGGGGTAGAGTAATTGTCAGTCAGTTAGTAAGTTATAGCAGCCTAACTCAGGGTCGACAGATTATTACAAAATTGGAAAAGGAAAAAATATATTTGGAGATGATGCAGCTTAGCTTGAGAATATATTTTTTTAAGACATGGAACTGCACCTCATGGTGGAAGTCTGCACTAAGTGTTTTTCAAGTCATTTATACATATATTATCCTTCTGTTCAACTATTGGACTATATGTTGCAGACGGAAAAATCGAATTACCTATTTTTCAGTGCATTAGGTCTATTCAAATAAGCCAATGTTAGAATTTGAAAATTGTAATCCACAGATATAGCAAAACATTTTCTACATCAGAGAGCAGCAAACTTAAGTCCACGAGGAGAAAAGTTGACCCAATGTAATAACTCAGGTTTTTGTGTTCTGTAATTATTTACACTCATAAGGCAAATTACATGTAAATAAATAACTTATCAATAACAGGCGGGTAGCCCCCGTAACTGCACTTTTATTTGTAATTGTGACGTCATGGGTGAAAGCAAGGACATCGTCGATAGGGGACAGATTGTAAATTTTAGAATTATTTGGAATACTGCGCAGCTTCACCGTCATCCGAGCAATTACATGCAGCCTGAACCTGATTTAATTCCCCACAGAAGAAAGAAAAAAACAGCAACGAATCAAATCAAAGCCAATTTGGCACAAAGACTTGTCAATAAAGGTCCTTCATTAAAAGTGGTTTCAGTAATACCGAGAGTATAAGAAACCATGGTGCCTTTATCATAGAAGTACGCAGTAGATACGTCAGGATGCAGACGCACAGACTTCAGAACACGGGAGCAGATAGCGCACAGACAATGGACGGGCACATTCGTCTTGTCACTTTAAACTTTGAAGTCGAAGTCGTCGGAAGCAGCCGCTGCAAGACGCTTTGATGACACTGAAGCTTAGGCCAATATTGACTCTCGAAGGCCCCGCGCACCTTGCGGGAGTCAGGTGTCGCGCGGATCACTTCACGTGTTTAGGATCTAAGGCAATGCGGAGGAGAATGTAAGCCTTCCAGCCGATGGTAGACACAAAAGACGAAACCCATGCATTGGAAAGAAATCTGTGAAAGCCCTTTATGGCCAAAAGTGAAACGAAGATGTTTCACTTTTGGCTTTTAGATCTCCGGCGCGTCCAACGTAGCTTGTGTGACTGATATGATGGCCTAATATTAATTATAAAGAGGTAAAATCACGCTAAATTAAATGTCCACGCTATAATATAAAAACAATGTATTTTCGTCAAATGACTTGCTCAGTGTTGAAAAGACCTAAAGTGCGGTAATCTATTCTGATGAAGTAATAACAATAAATTGTTTATGAAGCAGATCCTTAGTATTTCTTTATCATTCTGTTCACAACAACGAACAACCGCCTGAAAGCAGCACTGCACAATGTCTCTTATTGTGAGTTTAATAAGTTTTATTTAACCAATAGTGGCCCAAGTATGTTCAATAATAATAAAACTATATAGGCCTACATCCGACAATGGTCATCAGAAAGAATAGAGAAAATCTTCTATATTATACCATTTTACTTTGCAGACCTTCATCTCATGTTTCATTTAAAAAGCCAAAGGTCTTCATATTGAAAGGAGTTAAACATAGTCTATAAAAGCACTGGAGCCTCTTGCAACTCTACAGATCTGACAAGCCCTATTCCTGATGGTTTCAATTGAATGTTAGAATATCCACAAAATCTGTCTCCGTGTGAAATATTCCGTATAGAAGGTTTAACTTTACATTTCCAGCTCGACAACGTTGGTGTTGCTTTAAGATGATGAAGAAATGTTGATGGAGATGATAAAAACTTACGAGCTTCGTCTTCTCGAAGTTCTTTTTGTCAAATTGTGCAGTTCCTAAGTTGTCCAGATGAGGGGAGTACAAAATGTGGAACTCTCACAATTAAACTTATAGTGTAGAAAACCACTAAGAAATTATCACTATAGTATCTTAAGCAAACTCAATAACAATAATAATATTGACTTTACTAAAATATTGTAAATAATAACAATAATGATAATAGTGTAGCCTTCCTTAAGCAGCTTTATGTGATATTTGGCCTTGATGACTGATATATTCCATGTGTCGCTCCAGAAATGGCACTGAGGACGAGATGAAGAGAGAGGCAGGGGGCGTCTATGAGGACACTGCACCTTGTTACCTCTGGGTCGATTGTTAACTTTTACAAGTGACGTTTTGTGGGCATATAAACGATCCCTTCTAAACTGGCACAGGAAACCCTGAAACGCATGCTGCGATAATGCGGCTCTGTGGAATCCACTTGATACTGCACAAGTCTGGGAGCGCAGCGCACGTCCTATCGATTACACGGCCCCGAATGTTTGATGCATCAGACGGTTCTTGTCACGGGAGCACATCTGTCACAGTGTACTTTCATTCAAAAACACTACTTGCTTTGGGGCTTCAGATTCAAGAGCTATTGAGCAAAACCATTGTTTTTAGTAATGTCCCAGTTCAAATAAGAAAATTACCATTTTTCCAGCCCGCAGGCGTCAAATAATAGGCATTTAGGTACTTGAATATAAAAACCCGCCAGTACAAGTCCTTACCAGGGGGATGCATGATGGATGGAACTCTTCCCCTTCTGTCACTTCCCCTATGCAAAATATTGGAAGAGGCTGTGCGCCTCAAACCGGATGAGGACTGCATTGGTTCGTTGTGTTTCCACTTCTGGAACGCCAATCAGATTCGAGCAAGGTTTGGCGTACATAGTCAAGATTGACGTGGATAGAGAACGCGTCAAATTAATTCCACCAACTCTGGACTCTCCAACATCACTTCTTTTTGCGTGTATTGAAAGAGGATCAGTTTGTGCCACTTTCCCTGAAGTCTCGCGTCCAGAGAGCGGGGGCGGCGCACTGCGAGGACTTCTCCAACTCTCTTCAGTTCACTTTTCTTTCCTTCCACGGAGCTCTCGTCTCGGGGACGCTCTCAGCCTTTGGACGGGGCAGTGCACAGCCGAACACGGCAATGCAAATGGGTGAGTCAAGTCTTTGGCAAATATGGTTGAATGGAACTCTTGGATGCATGTCCGGCTCACGGACTGTAACGACACAAATCTGATGCACGATAACGCAAGAGAAACTAGTGTGAACTAATGGACTGTCAATGAATTAATATCTGTGTTGTTTGAGTGGATTATAATTTAATATGAATCCGTGAATGCACTAATATTAAGAAATACACCAGTGACATTTCTTTTGCTCATTGTTATATAAGATGGATTAATTAGTATCCGCCTCCAGTGATATGGCAGATGATTGTAGAAATGATTGGCTGTTTCAAAGCATTTAACTTTATTGAGTCAATAACACACTGATTTTCTGCGACAGAACAAACCTATGGAGAGGTGAACCAATTGGGAGGCGTCTTCGTCAATGGCCGTCCTCTGCCAAACGCCATCCGGCTGCGGATAGTGGAGCTGGCGCAGCTCGGGATACGGCCCTGCGACATCAGCCGACAGCTGCGAGTGTCCCACGGCTGCGTGAGCAAAATATTGGCGAGATATAACGAAACTGGATCCATCTTACCTGGTGCCATTGGAGGGAGCAAACCACGAGTCACAACACCCAATGTAGTCAAAAACATCAGGGAATACAAACAGAACGACCCTGGGATTTTTGCATGGGAAATCCGAGACAGACTTTTAGCAGACGGAGTTTGTGACAAGTACAATGTACCATCAGTGAGTTCCATCAGCAGGATTTTACGCAATAAAATTGGAAATCTGTCCCAGATGAACCAGTACGAAAGTGGCAAACAGGCGCCAGCGCAAGCCAGCCTCTCCTACAACCACATCTACCCGTATTCCTATCCAAACCCCATGTCCCCCACCGGCACGAAGATGACCGGCCCTTCTGGAGTGCCGGTCACGGCAGGACACGTGAGCATATCCCGGGCCTGGCCCTCAGCACACACCGTCAGTAACATCCTGGGGATCCGCGCCTTCATGGACCCAGCAGGTAACGTGACAACCGTATGAGAACTGCATAAGCTTCTCCGTTTAAAAGGGCCACAACACTGCATTTAACTGTTTTTATCTGTCTGATTTAGTGTCTAATGAAGGATTCTGCAGCACTGAACACTTTGTTCTGTGTGCAGCTGCTACAGGCCTCGCTCAAAAGCACAACCACACTCGCAATTTAAAAAGCTGCATGCTTGTTCTTATTATTTTACTTCACTGTATAGCCTTCATATTTATATATTTGCACGTTCAACCTCAAATGTATTTCAGTTATGAACTCATAATTTCTACACATTGTGCTTTCAAGAGTTCAATATTCTATACTACTTTTGAACCTTTATGAGTGATATTGTGCGTAAAATAGACTATGCGCTATTACGCATTATATCATGTCTAGAATTTGGCCACATTCGAAATAGTAACGAAAGTCAAATAATCTCCTGCATAATACACACATTGTTTTGATTTAATTTTGATAGATGACAGATTTCACTGAAAGAGGTCATTGCGTTAATTATGCTGTGGCTTTAGGCTTCGTATTCAAATGGAATATTGAAACGTAACTGTGAGAATTGTACAATTGAAAAAAGGATAAAAGATGATACATAAACGACTTAATAATAACAGTGGGTTATAACTGATCTCTTGTGGACTATTACGCACGAATGATGTGAATTCTCTGTTGTGTTTTAGCCATTGCTGGAACAGAGGGTTATGCGCAAAAAATGGAGGACTGGAGCAGCGTCAACAGAACAGCCTTTCCCTCAGCGCACGGGGTCAATGGTATCGACAAGTCCACAATCGAGGGCGACATCAAATACCCGCAGGTACTGGACCTCTATAGATACTGCCAAACGACGTACATTTCTTGTTATACATTCTGGTGCATGCCACGGCATTTTGGGTCATTTACAAGCAACAGTCAAATCCCTCTCGAGAACGCGGTCAGAGCATTTAATAAGTTATGTCTCTCATTACAAAGGCTTGTGGATAGTGAGCTATAAAACGTTTCCATAAGACAGCACTGATATAGCAGTCACACAAGCCTATTAACAAATACCCGTTTTTCTCTCAATAATAGATGACATATTTAGATGGGTGTAAACATCTGTCTTTGTTCTTTCAAAGTTATTCATCCTATGCCACTTTGCTGACTCTCCTGCAAGTCAGTTCTGTGTTTTCAGTTGTTTTTTAATTTCATTTTCAAATAAACATGCTCATACACGTATATCTTTCTGCTGCAGCCTTCATCCACACTGTCCAGTTACGTGTCTGCGTGCGCCTATTCGCCGTCCAATCAGTATGGGGTCTACAGTGGTCACACGGGAGGATACGTGGCTCCGGGACACCATCACTGGCAGCCGCAGAGTCCAGTCCTGTCCCACGCGGGGGGTGGCATGGGCATGCACGCAGCGGACATTCATGCGTCCATGGCCTTCAAGCACCAGACGCGCGAAGGTATGAGGACATCCCAATCTCAAGCATGTTAAAACTATATGCAGAAATTGGTGTGTGACATAGCCAAATGTGTTATTCAGCATCTTTGTGGTTATTATGAGGCCGTGTGTAAAGGCCCCACAGTGACAACATGGTCCCTTGTTGTGCGCAGGAGACCGCAAGCCCCCCAGCCCCCTCACTAAACAGCAGCATGAGGACTTGAACGTGCACGGACTCAGTCTTGCTACCTCCTCGTCCTGAGCTGGACTAACCTAATCCTATAGCTGACCCATTTCAGCCGCACTAGTAAGTCTCGCCTCTCGGTTGTGTGTTATTCCCACAAGAGCCCGTTCACGTGGACAAGTGACAGACTATTATTGGACATTTGAATGTAAACTCACGCACGGATGTCCCGGGACACCTTTTGGCCGCATGGACCGAACGGACAGTGTGCTTTTCGTGCGTAAATAAATCCAGTATATGTCGGCCATAATACCAATAGGCCAACTCTCAGCGATGTGAAACAAGTCTACATGTAAAAAAGATTCTTGCCAAAGTTTTAATTATATATTTTTTATAATTCCATTGTAAATATTAATAAAAGTGTTTTGTGAAATTGTAAATTGTGGCGTTTATTTAATTTAAATCCAATTTAAATACAAGCCAGACGCAAATGCCTATGAAACTGAAAGAGGATATTAAAGCATTATCTTTTAGGCCTTTATATCAAATTGAGATCGTGACAATTTGCGTATTGTCCTTAAAGGCCCATGCCCCATGAGCACGAAAGCATGAGGGGCCTTGGTTTGAACATTAAGGCCTACGTTGTCTCTCGCGTTACCTCAGGAACAAACACACGGAAGTCTATAACGTTACATTAAATTCGAATAATAATACATTAACTGAATGTTTTTAGTAAATTATGATAAGGTCAAGCATATCCATTTCTGTATTACGAATTACGTATTTTTCCTTGTAATTCAGAGATCATAGATCACGACCGCGTCACACTGAGTGTAGACTGTGTTTTCACTCGTTCTATTTCGAGCCGGTTTATGATCAGACTCATTTGAGGTTGTCTTCAAACTATATTTTGAGACGGACTTTTCCATATGCTGTAGCCTTCCATATTTCACATTTAATGACCTTAAGACCACGACCAATCTGAATCTGAAACTGAATCTAAATATTATATAATAACATATACATGAGAATACTAATACATAGTATTGTATTGTAATATATGCATAATTATATTATATTATTTATATATATGTATACTGCATATATGTTTATTCACATTATATATATTGTACTATGTTTTAAATATAATATTGGATATATACATTGTAGGTGGTTGGTGCGAAGTCTATATAATATTTACATCTTATGTATATCTATATTTAAGCATAAGGTTTTGTGGAGTCCCATGGAGTCATGCTGTGGTTATATAGCCTATTTCTGTTTCAAACTTTTTGTATATTGCTTGTGGAGCCTTTCCTCGTAAAGTTGTCCCATGACTGGGTTCATCCAAACATTAAGATGGCCTCTGTGTGTGCACACGGCTCATGTTTTGCCGGATACCACTCGGGGTTCAGAAAACACTGCTTCATGGTGGCGGGGTGACTTCCTATGGGACCTATAGTCATCAATCAGGACTGCAGTGACCCCCCAGTGTGACTTCTGCACAGACTGTATGTGAAGGCTGCAGGTGGCTTTGACCTGTATGTGAGCATTCCATCAAAGGCCAAAAGTATAGACACTGATCAATATGGAACTGTCTGTCTCCAGATACGTTTCAGAAAAGCTCATTTATGAAATTAATGAAAGGCTGTTGCAGGCTTTATTAGTCAATGGGCATTTTATCTGCAGTGCAAGAGGAGAAAGTGCCTCATGCTCATGGGAAGTCCTATGTGTGAGAGATCATCTGAGGACAGGAGCCCCATGGATCTGTTAAATTAGGTAACCGAGCTAACAAAAAACATAAATGTGTAATGAGGGTGAGATGCTGGTGCCAACACTGAAATATTAGAATACATGTTCCCATCTTTAGTAATATTTGCTATTTTGACACTTTGATAACATTAAGGGGAAAGTTACCCATTATATTGCCCATGTGTGTATTCCATGATTTGGGTTTGTTGGTATTTTGCGTTGCCCCTTTTCCACAATAGATGGTAACACTGCATTGGAATGCTCAGTGTTTACTGACAACATATACAAGTCTGACCAGATCTATATTTGTCTAATAAAAGTTGCATTTGTATAGTCACCACAAATTGTGTTGCCTGTATATAGTGTAATTTGAAAAGGATTATTTTTCCATAACTAACCACAGGATTTTCAAGGAGGCCAAGCTACAGCTCTTAAAGTCTCAAGGATGATAAATGTCTCCCTCCCATGTTTGCATGCTCTGCTCACCACATCAACCATCCTCCAGAAAGCAAAGGGACACCCGAAATGTTGCCATTCGCCGGAGATAAAAAAATATTTCACTTTAGCTGCGATTGATTAGCTTCCATAGAATATTGCATACAAAGTTTTTAAAGATATTCATTGACTAAAACACACTCATGAACAAATAGAGTTGGCCGAGTTCGTAATGTACAGATCAAAGACGGCAGGGTATCCTCTAATTTGTCTATAGTATTAATGTTCTGCCTGACTGCCCATCTGTGACTTATTTACAGTGAGCCCAAACACGCTCTGTGCCACACACGCAGGACGCCATCAGAAGAACGCTGAGCTCTGCTGGCTACATGTTCATTTTCTGGATCAAATTCTTATTAGGTGATAATAAGATGATGACTCCGCTTCCCAGAAATGCAACTGCTACACCACCACACTGTCTGCTTTAGTTTGCAGTAGCATGTTCTGAAGCCAACAAAGACCAAACTTTGTGAACACATGCAAACATGTGCAGACGCATTGACTAAGGAAACTATAGTCCTAATAGTTATGCTATGGAAGTTATGTAAGGCACTTTATATAATCATTTTTCAGAAAACAATCACACAGATCCACAATAGAAATGAAATATGAAATGTGAAAAATTGAAATCTGTACAAAAAAGGAAAGAAAAATTAATTGTCTAAAATACAGGTTAAACTCTGAATATTATTTAATTTTGTTAAACTAATATTAACTAATTTTATTAGAAATCAGAAAGTTATATTTATATACATCCTTTGTATGTAATGAGTCTATGTCAATTATTGCATATATATTGAAGTTGAATGACAGAAATAAGTTAACTTTTGAACAATCTTATAATTTTCCCAGTTTCACCTCTTGTCCGATGTTGACAGTAATTTCTTTCTCTCTACAATTCCAAACACACAATGTCCTCAAAAGCCATAACCCATGACAGCAGGACACTGGATGAGGGGGCTTCCACCTTTGGCAATCATCCCTTCGGCAGCCGTAAGCACAGCCAAGGACTGTTGTAAGAGACAGTCCTAAAGATACACACTTACAGGCACATCAGCTGTATTCCACATGAAAGCAGATTTCAACAGCAATTGGGTCGTCACAGAATCACTCTGTGCAATATTGGAAATATTGTAGCAACAGCATTACAAAACCAACAATAACGTGTGAGAAATGCATGTACACTAATGAAAGTTTACTTATTTTGCTTGACTAGTCCATCACACTTTCCTTAGACTCCGTCACAAAGTGAGAAGAATGCACACACAATGAATGTTCACAAAAGGAAAAATATGCCTCCACCTGAAGCACGTCTGACCAGTCGAACAGAGCACACGACCGGGATACTGTACGGAGATAAAGCAACAAAAGCACCAAACACAACATCGGTGTCATTAATCAAGCTCTGACCAGGCCTGTGTGCCACTCCCAGGCGCCAGCTCAGCTCCTGCCCCTATCACCTGTCAGAGTCGAACAAGGACTGTGGCTCCAGACAGAGGCAGCTATGTGTCTAAATCAACATTTGAATATAGAGGCTATCTATTTCAAAAAACCGTTCTAGAGAGCCACAGAATTGGCAGATATCTGGGAGTTGTGACATTTGTAAGAAGCAGGAAGATCAGTGGTTTAGGATCATGAAAAACATATTGGTTCGACCGGTTTGTTGCCTAAAAAGGGGGAATGGGAAAAGATTTGATCTGACCTAGCCTGGCCTAGCCATTTGTAAACTCCGGTCAATTTTCCGACATAGACCAAATAATAATCAGTAGGAAATTAAATTAATGCGTTGGTTTGGTAAGACCAGCTTGCATCTGAATCACCTACTAAATTTCAGCTTCATGCATAACAACGATAGCAAGAGAAGCTAATGTCTTCCTGTGCTACCCTTTGGTCAAAATAACCCACCCAAGTAGAACAAAAATAACCTGAGTGCTAGTCAAGTTATGAGAAGTCATCAAAAATAAGCTTGAAAAAAATATTTGTAATCACTGTGGTTCAGCACAAGGGTTAAACATGTGCAGTAATTACATGATTACATGAATTTACATTATTCATGTAATTAGTCCGTATAATAGTTTAACGTTGTAAATTCAATTACAGAAGTAAATGGACTTTTGAACTATAGGATATTTATTCTTAAGTTCTCCCATAACAATTCTTACTCGTTACAAGGGGCCGCTATGCCCTTGTAACTGTATATTTTGTTCAACTAGGATGCTATCAAAAATGAATGGACTAATAACTCTTGCAGATATGACAAAAAAAATAAAATTATATATATATAAAACATCTTCCTCGTCTGAATGTTTTAAGTCTTGTATTAAGACTTAACACAGCGTGGTCCTCTGTTTTTATTTTTATATTTTTAATTTTTTATATATGTGTGTACTTATTTATTTGTTGCTATTTTTGCTTGTTGTACAGAAATGTGCTATATAAATAAAGTGGATTGGACTGGATTGGATAGGAATTTTGGACTTCACATTATAGTACAGGTGAATGTATTTTGTAGTGAGAGTCTGTTCACACAAGAAGCAGTGGAGTCGGCCGTGGAGCGGTGCAGGACGTCTGCGCTCAGGCACTGACCCACAGAGTGTTCATTTGGCATAAAACACTGTGGAATGAATGAACAGATCCAGGGCAATTATATAGCCCCACGCCAATGACAGAACCGCTCCTAATGTGGCCCACAACTTCTCACTAAATGTTTGTGCTATTTGGCAGCTAAGGTAAAATGAAAATGAAAACTAATAAATGTCATAGCCGTGTTTGTCCTAATCAGTGACAACAAAAGATGCAATATACATCGAGAAAAGCACTTTTTAGATTGC